GCTTGAGACACATGACCTTCATTTCTAAGGTCAAAGTACATTGAAATGATGACAAACGAGTAGTAGATTACCGAATTCTAAACTCTATTTTCTCTCTATCTCCTTGCTCTTCTCCTAATTGAACCGAAAACTCAAAACAAGACAAAGTACAGCCCTGGACAGTGTGGCTCAGTCGGTTGAGCATTTGTCCCATACACTGAGAAGTCACCAGTTGGATTCCTGGTGGGGACATATGCTGGGGTTGTGGGCTCTGTCCCCAGTAGGGAGTGTGCCAGAGGCAGCCAATCGATGTTTCTCTCATCAATGTTTCTCTCTTTCCCTCTCCCTTCCTCTCTCATCAATTTAAAAAAAATTTTTTAAAAAGAAGAAAAAGTCCAAATTCCTGAATTTTTAAAAAACTTTTTATTTGAAAATAGTTTTAAACGTATAGAAAAGCTGCAATAATAAAAATAGTACATCTGTATACCCTTCACCTAGATTCTCCTGTTAACATTTTTACTGCAGCCTGGCCGGGCGTGGCTCAGCGGCTGAGCATCGGCCTAGGATCCAGGAGATGGGGGTTCAATTCCTGGTCAGGGCACGTGCCTGGGTTGCGGGTTCAATCCCCAGTCGGGGGCGTGCAGGAGGCAGCTGATCAATGACAACTCTGTTTCTCTCTCTCTCCCCCTCTTCCTTCCTCTCCCTGAAATCAATAAAGACATATTTTTTAAAAACACACATTTTTACTGCATTTGCTTTAGCATTGATTCTCTCTCTCTACACATACACAAACACACCCACACACAAAAATTTTTCTCACTCATTTGAGAATAACTTGTATACCTTTTGCTCATAAATATGTCAGTGTGTATTTTCTAGTGATGGGGATCCTGCCTCATAGAACCACTGTATTAGTTACCAGCCTCACTAGGTTGACCATTTGTGCAGTACTTCGAACTAATCTATCCATTCACATTCCAGTTTTATCAATGGGCCCAGTGATGTCCTTCAGAGCAATTCCCCCCCCCCC